AATATGGGCAATGCTCAATCCTGTCTCATCTCAGAAGCTTAACAAGGTGAAGGTCAATCCTGGTTAGCATTTGGTTGGGGGAATGCCAAGTGCTGTAGTCTTTCTACATTTTGAAAGGCAAACATGGCTGAAGGGTAATAATAATACTTAGGTTTGATACAGCGCCTTATTGCGTCGTTGAGACGTCTCAAAGCGCTTCACAAAATATACTGTCAAATGAATTGACTGTACATTTTGTGGGCAAAACCCGGCAGCCAATTAGCGCCCTGCAATGTTCCCATATTGAGTGACCAAATTATTATTTTATTTATTTGAAGGGATTATTACCCCTGGAAAGTGACTAGCGACCGGGTTCCCACTTACTGTCAGGTAAACCGAGGCGCGTGGAGGAAGGAAACTCGCCTAAGGTTTCGCCCTGCCCGGGAATTGAACCCGGGTCCTCTCGCTTGTGAGGCAAGAGTTCTGACTAATACGTGACAGGACTCCACCTACCAGAGGGTACAGGGAAAGAGCAGGAATCGTGATTAGGATGGACGGATTCTGTGAAGGAGCAAACACCAAAACCTACTGTGACATTGATTTCTATAGTTATAAATGTGAGAGAAAGGAAGACAGCGGTAAGGTGGTCAATTCAAACGGCTTGTACACAACCTTTGGAATCAGATAGCGAGCACGGACTAATCAACTGAGTGGTAAAGATCAGGGCAGCATGTAATCACTTGAACCAGAATTAAACAAGAGGATTAAAATGACTGCACACAAACATATTACTGAGCACAAGATTATCCGAGGATAGCACAGAATCAGAATAAACAAACAGTTTCAGTACACTGTCATGTACCCTTTGTTTTCAGTCAGCTAAGTGTCTGAAACATGTGGAAACCCATCACCGTGTCTAGAGTATCCAAACTAGACTGAGACTATATTCCACAAACTATATTCCAATATATACATGACAGCAACATACGGAAAGTTACCTGTGTTGTGCAATGTGCACTCGTTGCCAGGCTGCACTGGCTCCCAATTACCGAACTGATCGACTTCAAGATCCTCTCACTCACTTTCAATTCCCTTCATGCCCTCACACCTCCCTACCTTTCCGATTTGCTTACCTCCCACTCCATCACCCGCTGCCTCCGCTCAGCCAGCTCCAGCCTCCTGTTCGTCCCTCGCCCCCTCCGCTCCACCCTCAGCGGCCGTGCTTTCAGCCACTACACCTTGAAGCTCTGGAACTCTCTCTCCCTCAATCCCTCGGCCTTGCCCCCTCCCTCCACACTTTCAAATCCAGCCTAAAGACCTTTCTTTTTGATCGTGCTTAGGGTCACCTCTCCTCTCCCTCGCCCCCTGGCTCGGGGTCAGACTCTGCCAATGTCAAGCGCTCTGGGATGCTTCCCCGCGTGAAAGGCGCTGTATAAATGCAAGTTGTTGTTGTACTCTCTCCCCACAGGGTAGAACTCTGCTTACCCAATTCTGGGGAGTATTAGGCTTAGGGTGGTGCGTTTTGGGGATCACGGAATATGCAATCCAGTACTGCTTGAGTTCAACCAGCTAAAACTGCACAGCTTCCCATTGATATCACTGTCTGGTAAGTTTTCCCATTGCTTATCCAGCTCAGATCACACTACCCATTAGGGTTTTGGCTTGCATGGTTAACAGGAGCTGAGTGGGAAGATACCCTCCCCCCACCTGAGACTGGTCTACCCTTCCAGATCCTGCCGATGAGCCAGGCTGGCTGGTCTACCATAAGCAGTGACCTGGATTACTGCGTAACCACCTGATTCATGACCTGAACAACTGAGACCATGACAAACTCGATTCTGATATTCCTTTGCGAAGCATCTCACTTGCGAGCCAGCTCAGCAGCAAGGACACCCAGCTTAACACCCGCACGCACCCCCACTCTGGAGGATAGTCAAGAAGGATTGTTATGCTAGTGTTGACGTGAGTAAGGCAAGCCTGTTCTCTCAATGGCTTTGAGTTCCTCTGCCCAGAGATGTATCCAATGGACTGACTGAAGGGAATACAGTTCTGCACCTGGATCTCCTCGCCAGTGTGGTGATCAACATTGACATCCATAGTATATGGTGAGCAGCACCATCAACAGGAAGTTGGAACTACTACACATGATGTGGTGTTGGAAAATACTTGACGTTTGCAAAAAAAAATTAATCGCGTCAATGGACTTCAATTTTGAAACTGAAATGTGACAAAGTGAAGCAGGATTTTTACAGATCTACTGATTCGGCCAGATTGGCAAAGTGCTCATGGTTGATAGTTGTACTAATCATATGATTATTAATTTTTATGTCCTTTTTCATCTGCAATAACACTCAGCTAAAGTGATGGTCATTATACCTCAAAAGGTAACTGAACCAAGGCATGGAGTAAATTAACACTTATTAAATATATCTATTATATATTATGTATATATACATACACACACACATATATATCACCATGCAAAGATTTGGGATGGACTCCAAAATCAGAAATCTTACTAAACTCTCCATTAAAAAACCCTCTCCCGAAAAAATAAAACAATAATAATTTGGTCACTTCAATCCACGACTGTTTGTGGGACGCTGTTGTGCACAATTGGCTGCCACATTTCGCCCACAAATATACAGTCAATTCACTTTACAGTATATTCTGTAAAGCACTTTGAGATGTCTTGAAGACGTGATTAGGTGCTATGTCTAATGCAAGGATTATTATTATTATCTAATTAAGGGGTTCAAATCATGTTCTAAACCAGGATGGTCCAACCTGTTAGCTGCCACGAGCCGGGTGCCCTATTTGAGAAACGTCCACAGGCCTCATAAGCAATATTTTTGTGTTTCCCTTCCAGAAACGTAAGATAACATTGACGGGTTGTGGAGGAAGCAGGTGGACAGGATGCAGCCTGTGGGCCACCAGTTGGACCAATCTAGGCCATGAGAGTAATGCTCAAGCAATTTTTAGTTGTTAACTGAAATTATAGCCTTGAAATGGCTCAATGTCGTGCTAATTTCATATACTGCACATTGGGCCAGCTATGCACTCACATTAGTGGTTGGTTTGAGGCATGTTTGCAGCAGGAAATTCCATTTTGAAATGATTACATAACTTACCTTACTCTCGGTATCCCCTGCCCCCCACGTGGGTAGAAAGTAAGCAGAAACTCCTTGTAGGTGCGCTGTCTCCAACGTGACATGTTTGGCAACAGATTGATGGAATCAAGTCAGTTGTCTGTGGTGGTCTCGGTAGTCCGGTTCCTGACTGTAGCATTCTAGGGCACTGCCAATGACAAACCAGCCATCCTGGCTCATCTACAGGACTTGGAGGGACGGACCAGTCACTGAGAGCAGCTATTCTTCACATTCAGCTCCTGTTAACCCTGCAAAACCAAGGCCCTAACCAGGAGGTGCCCTAACTGCTTCAGGAGGACATCCTCCTGACAAAAAAGGCACTATACAAATGTAATTTGTTGTTGTAGGATGTCTTAGCTAGTCAAACAGCAGGTAGCATGCTGGACGGCAAGCTTTGGTGTTATAGCTGGTTATAAGCTATCAGTTACCCAAACACATAATCGGGGGTCTCCAAGCCTTGGCTTTCAATAAAATTTCCCTAATACTTTTCGGAATTAGGCAAGCAGGGTGTGCATCTTTAGGGGAGAGTGCACATTACTATTCCAGACCCTGCTGACTGGTTTGGATATTCTCGAGCACGGTGATGGGTTTCTACAGGTGTCGGACACCTGGTTGACACCGGAAAATGGTATGTGTTCAGCCTTTTTCCGAGCTCAGCAACACCACTGATCTAAGGTGGTTAGAACCGTGGCAGATTAACCCGAAATGAAATTAAAATGTGCATGTCACTCCACACACAACACAGGATAGGATAAAGAGTCATTTCTGAAATTAAAAGCAGCAGCACTGCGCACACGAGGTTCAGGGAAAGAATTGCTGAAAGCTCACCTATTTATATAGGATGATGGCCTGCTCATCGGCCTCTTAAAAGGTTACAGGTGTGAAGAGCAGTGGCACGGTTGTGTGCTGTACACGAAACATGGGGTCCAACATTCTGTTAGGTCAGCAGGAGTCCCTGACGGAACTGCGCACATTGTTTCTTCCCAACTCAAGAATTTCCATGGGCCTTATTTTGTTTGCTTAAACAAAATGCATTAGTGATGTCAAAATGTTAGTTAGTCTGGTTGGCCCATTCCTTTATGTTCTAGCATTAATTACTCTGTAAATTCCATCCCTTTTGCCTGTGTTAAAATGAGCATACTAATAATAATAGTAATGATTCTTGCATTTGATATAGCGCCTTATCATGTCTTCGAGACATCTCAAAGTGCTTCACAGAATACTCTGTAAAGTGAATCGACTGTATATCTGTGGGCGAAATGCGGCAGCCAATTGCGCACAGCAGTGTCCCACAAACAGTCGTGGATTGAATGACCAAATTATTGTTTATTTTTAGGAAGGGATTATTATCCCTGGAAAAGTGATCCAACAATCGACTAACAAGCGTATACAGAATATGGCGCTAACAACCTGGAAGTTCTTAGATGGAGTTGGTTGGATTTCAGTAGTTACCCCAATGCATATCCTGCAGTCACTAAGCCTTGGCTCTAGCCAACCTGTGCCTAATACTCTTAGGAATTAGGAAGCAGAGTAAATTCCCCAGGGAGAGGGGTGCATTCAATTGCAAATACAGAGAAATTTCCATGTGTAGAATGGCATACATCTGTAGAACTCTATCCGGTCTGGAAACTCTTAAGCATGGTGAAGGGTTTCCGCATGCGCCAGTCAGTCACCCTGGGGACTACAAAAATGTACTAATTTCTTTCTACGTCCATCCTTCCCCTCCAACACATACACACAGGGACAGAGAAACTCATGCCTTTATTCAGAGACTAACATGCCGACGGGATTGAGCACTTATTCAGAAAGATATCATACACACACATACTGAGACAGTTGCACACCCCATGTATACATACACTCAGGCACAGGTTGTCCTGGAAAAGTAACTAAGTATGTTTTATTTCTGTATGTCAGAGCAATAGAAACCAACCTCCCTGTGCGGATTCTCAATGATCACAATTCACTTTGGATCCTAATCAATCAGGAAGGCCTTCTCTTCTTTTATATAAAGAAACGACGGTCGGATTGACAGCATTGTGTATCATTTCCCTGCATTCCTGAGTTGGACTTTTTGTCCGATTGCAACAGGAGATGAGGCCGATTGGTGTCAACACTGATAATTCAGGGGAACTTCCGAGCCAATGAGCTTCCTGAGCCGCACGATTTCCTCCTTGTATCTGCAAAGTTTCACAGTTGAGAGAAGGATACAAGACACAACAACATACATCAATAAAAGAGAGCCTTCACACAGGATAGCGTCTCGGAGTCCTGTACAGTTGGGGGATGGGGTGGGTGGGGTGTTGGCACTGAACAAGGGAGAGGGCGGGAGGGGAAGGTGCCCACAAGTGGTCGAAAAGGTGTCTTTAGGTGGGATTTAACCAGAGACAAAAATATATAATACAATATATATTTACAATTACACGGTGCCTTTTGCAACTGGAGGACGACTCAAAGCGCTTGACACTGGGGATTGGACATCACCAACAACTCGAACGTATATCAAGAATAAAACCAAGTAGCTTTCAGCCCTCTGTAGTCATTCTGAATGGAATTGCATTTTTTAAAAAAAATAAATCAACTTGGGGACAATTAATGAACAAAATGACTTCAAACATCAAAATCCTAGAACTCGCTGACCCACCAATATAGTGTGAGCACTATCGCAACAAGACCTCGGGGGGTAAATTCCACCTGGATCTAGATTTCGCAGTCTAAAGAGAAGGCCCATCATCATCTTCTCAGTGTAACTGTAACAATGGGATCTCAGAGTCGCTCACACACCTGAGCTGTGTAAAATCAAATTGCTTTCACTCTGAATTTCTTTGATATAAAAGGCTTTTACCTGCCTAGGTGCTTGTCCACATAGTCCTGCAATTCAGCTAATTGGCCCTCGGTGACCTTGAGCCGTGAACTGAGCTGGCCTCTCTCGGACTCCAACTCCTCCTGTTAACAAACCGCAGTGTTAATACAGGGCAGCGCCCAGACCGTGTGCTGCTGACCTAGAGGGATCAGCTGTGTTCAGAGGGCTGAAAGCTATCTGGTTTTATTCTCTAACTCTCTGCTTCCTGCTGCTTTAGTGGTTCAGGTCCAGTGGACATGCACGAGGAAGTATTTCTTTACCTGAAGGTTAATGAATGGATGGAATTAAGTTACCAAGATGGGTGGTTGAGGCCAAGATCCTGGAATATTTACAGTTAAGAAACCACTTGATGCTGTAAGGGGAGGGTGCAGGGTGGGTGTTCTGGAAAGATGAGATCAAATGGGTCAAATGGGCCTTCTTCATCCAAATCAATCTGATTTAACCTTGCGTGCAAAATCTGCTAGCTAACAAGGCTGTGCAAAATAAATGAAGCCTCTGAAATTTACAGAGCCGATAAGTACCAATTAATACCTTCGATCAAAGAAAGTGGTTTAATTCATGTTGTGCCCGGAGCTCTGGCTTTAATAGCTCCCAATTAATTGCCAGATATAATTTAAATTAATCTAATCTATACTGTAAGGATGCAGTCTCTGGACCCGCACACTTGTGGGGATGAGTTTCCTTCCTTACTTTGACCGTGCTGAGTGCTTATCTAAAGACAAGCAGGGCCCAAGCTGACTCGCTCACTCTTTCATCTACGCAAAGATGATAACATAAATTATACATGAAAGATAAAGGGGATTTCCTAACATCAGATGTTCCCAGTGTACCTGTGTGGTCAAAGTAAACTCTCTCATCTGCTTCTTGAGTTCCATCCAATTTCCGTCATTGACCTTCCCACGAGTCTCTGACCTGGGAACGTGACAGTTACAAACAGTAAGACTGAGACCTGCTAATTTAACCAGCAAACATAGAAACATTCCTCTACATGGCTGTCCCCGTATACAGCTTGTGATTCTTTTTAAATAAAAGAATAATACTTGAATTTGATACAGGGTGTTTCATGTTGAGGTTCACAGGATATACAATGAAGTGTAGTAACTGTATTTTGTAGGCAAGCAAGACTGCTAATTTGCACCCGGCAATGTCCCACAAACAGCCACAAAGTGAGTGACTAATTTTATCTGGGCATCGTTAGCCAGGAAACCAGGACAAACTCCCTTCTCTTTTTGAATAGTGGGATATATCACCTGAATAAGAAAACAGGATCTCGGTTTAACGTCTCATCCGAAGCATGGCATCTCTGACAATGCAGCAGCCCCCCAGCACTGCAGCAGCACGTCAGTCTGGACTATCAGCTCCAAGTTGTGATGCGGTGATTGAAATCACAGCTTCTAACTCAGAGGCATGAGCGCTATCAACTGACACCCTTGGTGTAGAATACAACTTCCGTTTATGATAGGGCTCTTCACACAGGGAAGTGTACCAGAGCACTTAAATAAATTTAGTAAGATACAGTACAAGCCAGTCAACTTTTTTTTGAAAAAAAATAATTTGTCTCAATTTTAAGGTCACGAGTTCCTGACCTGCATTTCATACTAAGTAATTTGATACACTTTTTGCATATCCTCTGCATATTATGTCAAAAAACGAGCAGAGAAAGAATGAGAGCAATACTTACATTGGGAACAAAGTGGTTGGTAAATAACTTCCAGATGGTTTGGTCTACGTAAAGTAAATGAATAAGACATACTTTCAGAGTGATGTACAGAATGATAGAATACGCTGGGGGAGTTGGATATTAACCTGGGCTAAACCTCTCCCAGTAATGCCTCCTTTCCGCAATCTGCACCTTGCCGTCTAATTTGTGGTTATATAGCATTAATTTCAACTTCCTAGGTTTACTGCTGGCAACTTATTCCAAGTCAGCGAAACTCCAAAACACAAAGGGCTGTTTCCTCCCCTCCTGCAGGAGCTGATTGATGCTGGGCCTCTTCCACTTTGGTGCACACCATAGTGGTTATTCTTTACAAAATGGGCCTTCCAGCTCTCTTTCAACTCCAGCCAGCAATCCCCCCCCATCTCTCCACTACCCTTCACCTGCTCCAGGCCGTTTCTCAGCTGGGATTCCAGGCAGGCTTTGTCCTCTCGCAGTCGGTTCAGTTCCTGGGCCTGACCAGAGAGCAACTCGCTGTCTGTGACCACAAACTCCACTTCTGAAGGCCCAGCGTCCAGATCCTCGTTCTTCAACCCCAAGATCTGCTCCCTCTGGGACCTGCACTGAAGAAAAATGACGGTGGCTGACGCAACAAGGAGCAAAGAAGTTATCATCCTTAATAATTCTTAGATTTGAAACAGGGTCTCTCACGTCAGGAGACATTGGAGGGACAGAACCTGATGAGGAATCTGGAAATAAATACTAAATGTGTATTCAAGACATGTGCGAATATACCAATCCAACCCTGACCCCAAAATATATACAGGTTTGTCTGGTCCGGCTAAATTTATTCAACACGGTTTCTGTTTTCAATAATATCTGAATCATATTCCAAATCAGTGTAACAAGCATTATAATAATTATAATCCTTGCATTTGATACAGTACCATTTTCACACATCATTGCCCCAAAAACTGCCTCAAAGTGAATGATTAATTTATCTGGAGGATTGTTGGACATGACACCAGGAGAAACTCCTTTCTCTTTTTGAATAGTGGAGTATGATCTTCACCATCCACCTGAGCAGGCAGCCAGGGCTTTGTTTTAACACCTCACCCGAGGACACAGAAGTATAAGTGGGACTCTTGAATGTTTTAACCTGTAAGCGATCAACAGCATTTCATGCTTTTTGTATATATCCTTCATCCTTTTCTTGTAATTTCTAGCTGCAGATGCCAACTGTTCTTCACGTGCCTTGTACGCACATCGGATGTCATTGAGCATGCTGTCCACAAACCGCTTCAGGTAAGGCTGCTCAGCTGGGAGCTTGTCATGACCAAGTCTTGCTGTGTTATCCACATAGTCCTGGTATGGAACACCGAGAAGCAATGCATGTTTAGTTGGCCGTACAACAATATTTGCGGAAACCTGTGTGCAAGTCAGCCTTGCAAATTACATTAGCAATAATGATCCTTACAATTGATACAGCGGCTTTCAGATTGGAAGCCACTCCATGTCTCAAAGCGCTTCACGGATTGCCCTGTACAGTGTAGTGGTTGTGTATTTTCTGGGCGAACGCAGCAGCCGATTTGCGCACTTCAATCTTCCACAAACAGCCACAAAGTGAATAACCAATTTTATCTGGGTAATTGCTGGCTAGGTCACATGGCCTGGGTTTAACATCTATTCCCAAGGTCATCACCACTGACAATGCAGGCTCCGCCAGCATTGTACTGGAGAGTCAACTGTGAGCTCAAAGTCCCAAAGTGAGGCTTGAACCAACAACCTTCCGACTCAGAGGTGAGAGCGCTGCCAACTGACAAACATTTCTGGTATTTTGAGGTTTTGATGTTAAGTATTTTCTTACAGTAATATCCTGAATGTAGTGCACGAGACGCAAGCGATACTCCTCATTCAGTTCTTTCAGATGGAGCTGTAACTGTGAGTTCTCACTTTCGGTCTCTTTCAGGTGGCTCTGAGAATTCAGCAAGGCCTCGAGTGGAATATGGTGAAGGAGAGAGAGGGGAAAGGGTCAATACAATACAATTTAACATTTATATCTGAAAGTGCTTTATTACACAGCTGCCTTGGCAACCAAGTCACAGGGATGGGGGAAATAATACCCGAAAGTGCAATTGAAAAGGCATGTCTGAAGTTGGATTTCAACAGTGGGGATGGAAGAGGCAAAGTGGATAGACTCCAGGATAGAGTTGCAGAGAATGGAGGCAAAATGACTAAAAGCTTGCCTGGTTGGTGGGGTAGATCGGGCAGGGGGAGAGGAAGTAAGCCGGGGTTTGCTAACACAAAAACTACAATCAATAGTTCTGGGTCTGAAGTGTATTGAGGTGTTGAAACTGTGAAGGTTACAGCACACAATATATAACACAGAGTAATCCAGCCCTGACAATGAAGGTAATACTAAAGCTGTAATACTAAATTGATAAGCTTACTCACCAGTGGGAAGCTATGGTTGAGGTTGCAATCTCAATTTATCTCTGCCCATAACTTTCCGTTGCAAGTCACTCTGGGTTATTTGTGTCTAGAAGGGAAAACCGTCCAACCAGGATATTCCCTTGGGCTGCCCAAGTGGGAATGACACCCAGGTTTGGAATTGGGTTAAATGGTCATGCAATGGAACTACAGGTGAGAACAATGTAGTTCAAGGGAAGCAGCAATTACTGGCTTAATGGTGGTAAGGCCGTAAGGCATTCTAATCAGATTGGAGTCTGCAGTAGATAAGAATTCCACTCTTGCTCCAGGCGCAATGGCAGTGCATATTCACAACACAGTGAGAAATGAATAGGCAAGCTCCCCCTCTCTCACCTTTGCCTATATTCCACTGGAGCCCCTTCCAGTTGAGAGGCCGAATGACTTGTTAAAAAATCCTCCTTTTGATAGAGCGGCAGGCTGCCTCAAGACACTTTACATTATTTGTGTCTGTGCAATTTTTCTGTGAACACAGCAGCCAATTTATACACAGCAATGTCCCACAAACAGCCATGGAGTCAGTGACCAATCTTATTTGGGGGATTGTTGGGAGAATCTCCCTTGTCTTTTTGAAATGTGCAGTGGAATGTTTAATGTCTACCTGAACAGGCGGACAGGACCTCGGTTTAACATTTAATCTGAAGGGCGGCACTTTCCACAGTGCAACAGACAACAACAAGATTACATTTATATAGCGTCTTTCACGTCGGGAGGAACCCCAGCACGGCACTGGAGGGTCAGCTAGCACAGGCTTCCATCTGTGCTGACATTTTATTCTTCTTCTCCGGCTGTAACTCTCTCAATTCTTACCACTGATTGCTCCGATAGTTGGTGGTGTGTGTTTCGAATAGCTCGTTTGGCTTCTTGAAGCTCTTTTCCCATCTTGACTCTAAAAGACAAAGGTTCCAGTCAAAATCTACAGTCAATTTATGCAGTGGAGAGATCATGAACTGCAGATTGGGTACAGATAATAATAATCTTTACATTGTGTTTATTGTAATAATAATCTCAATATTGTATGGCACCACTTACTGGATAGAACTGTCTCACAGATCAAACCTAAAACTAACAATTTCAGGTGAAACATAGAAATAATAATAATCCTTGCATTTGATATAGAGCTTTACCATGTTGTCAAAATGTAGCAAAGCGTTCACCTACACAAAACATACATTTTGCAGTAAATCCGGTGGAGCACTTTGAGGCGTCCTGATGTATAATATCAAATGTAAGGATTATTTTTATTATGTATTATTTACAGGAGTTACTGTAAAGTATTGCGACCATGTACTTGTAGGTAAATGTAAATGCCTATCAAAAAATCAAGTATTTTTTCATGTGTGTGGGGTGGGGGAAAAGAAACTGCATAAAAAGCAACGAGTTATGAATAGCATCAATCTTTACCTCACCACCAGCAGAGGTTTGAAGAAGCAGAGTATATATAGAGAGGGTGTTCATAGCAGGTCAACAACACTCAGCACAACACTGCAACATCCCCCAAATAGGCATTGTAACACTAGTGACTGACTGGAAAGTTACCTGATTGCCCAAATGTGGCTTCAAGGCATGTCTACATCGGGTGCCCTGTGTGACAGGCTTGCTGCTGTATGATTAAGCTGCTGCAATCAATGGATTGAGTGATTAAGTTTAACAAGGGGGTGTACTCCCGCTGCACACTCACATTCGCTCTTCCATTATGCGCTGCTGTTCTTCGTGGCTTTTCTTCATATTTTCAATTTGCTCTTTGATCTCCTCCTGGTTACCCAGCAACTGAAACACAAGCACCAGCCTCAAACAGCAGCATCCAGTTCCCATTCTGTGACCTCAACATCTGCCGCTTTGGAAAAATGAGGGGGCAGCCACTACTCGTTGTGCACGACAGCACTGTCATGTTGTGTCCATCTCGTTCAGATAAAACTTGAGCTCTTTACAAGCGGCTCTGGAATGCTCTTTAACATTGAGCTGTTTATTAAATGAATCCAGGATCCTGGCCTCAAAACCCTTCCTGGTAACCCACTCGAGAATTAAGAGATTCTAAAGTGTCTCTAATTAGCATTAACACATTCCCAAGAACTCACAAGATCAGAGATTCAGATGAAGAAGGCCATTCAGCCAATTTGATCCATCCTCCCAGGTACCCAGCCTAACAGCCGTCCCATCACAACTTTAAACTATTCCTTGAACAAGTGCCTGCATCACGGCCTCAACTACCCTCTCACCAGTAATTATTTCCAGTCAATAACTACGCTCTGAGCAACAAAATATTTCCTGGTGTCTGTCTGGAAATTGCACTTTGCAACCCTGACCCCTGCGTTCTTGCTCTGCTACCTGGACATATCTGAAAATATTGTTCTGCGTTTACTTTCTTTAAAAAGCCATTTAAAATCTAGTAATATCTCTATAAAGTCGCCTCTGAGAGTCTCTTTTGAAGGCTGTAACACTCTGTGAACCATATCCCTTTCACGACTTAAGCTAGTTAGAATGAAAAGAACATAATGATTTCTATCCTTTTAAATGATTTTTCCCCACTGGAATCCTTTGAATTCTAGCATCTTGAAGTGACTCACTGTTGTGAGTTGTTGTGAAGGTTTTGCCCACAAGATATACAGTCAATTCACTTTACAATATATCCTGTGAAGCGCTTTCAGACTTCTCGAATACCTGATAAGGCGCAATATCAAATGTAAGGATCTATTCCACTCTTTGTGGAGTCCTGTAGCTCAGTGGTTAGAGCACTCGCTTTGCAAGCGAGAGACCTGAGTTCAATTCCAGGCAGAGGGCGAAACCTTGGGCAAGTTTCCTTACTCCACACAGAGCCTAATAATATCCCTCCAAAACAAAAAACAATAATAAATTGGTCATTTTCAATCTACGACTGTTTGTGGGACATTGCTGTGCGCAATTGGCTGCCGCGTTCGCCCACAAATATACAGTCAATTCACTTTACAGTGTGTTCTGTGAAGCGCTTTGGGACGTCCTCCCGACGTGAAAAGCGCTATATCAAATGCAAGGATTATTATTATTATTATTATTCAAGCCAACAATATCGTGGCCATATTTTTGAACCAGATTTCAGCCAAAGCATAAAAATAATAATCAGGAGGAATTCCTGAATTGAATATTAACACCTTTGATTCAAACTTACGTTTTTTTCTACTCTGTTGCGCTCGGATTCAGAAGCCACCACCTCTTCTGCCTAAACGCATCAAAACAACAAGGAATTTCGTCAACGTAATGTAAGTGGATCAAAATAATTAAAATTCAAAATTATGACTAAAAAGCTGTACGGTCCATCAATTTCAGTTCCGTCTGATACACGCGGCCATCAATGTCACACTTTTCGTTGATTTCCCACATTCTATATTAATATAGCCAGTAGCAGATCTAAAAGGGAGTTTAGGTTGAACCTCCGTACGCAGATGTGTCGAGAATTTGGAACTGTTGCAAACAAAAACTGCTCATTGTTAAAGCAGAAAGCATCAGCCTATTTAAGAGGTAACTTGGTGCATGCATGAGGCAGAACAAAATAGAGGGGTAATAGAAGAGGAGGGGTGGAGGCTCAAGTAGAGTATAATTACCCCCACAGGCTAGTTGGGCCGAGTGGTTTGTTACTTTCTATGTGATTCTATGTAAATCTGTCTTGAGTCACAAATTATCATTAATTCTTAGAAATGCATCACTCAAATCCGGCTGGTTGTTATCAATTTGGAAGAATGTTTGAATAATTCCTGGAGAGATGAATCTCGCTATATTGCATGACAAAATCCAGACAATGTCCTGACGGATGCAAATTCAACAACAATAGCGGCATGTATATAGCGGCATTTATATAGCGGCCTTCATGCGGGGTAGTATCTCGGAGCTATTTGCTACCAAGTCTAAGCTTCCTTCCTTAGTTACATTACATTCCGTGTAGTTAGTGTCAACTAGTAACCGTGGAACCATCGAAATCAATGGCACAGTGGGAGTAAATACAACACAATCGGAGGATGGCTCCTCCAAGAAACCATCCATCCTACTCCAATTCCTTGCTCTTTCCCAGTCCCTTCTGCCTGTTTTGGAGGTTGGAGGAGGGGGGAGAACAGAGAAAGATTGGTCAAAGCAAGACATGAACATATATATCTTTCATTGCGTTTATGGTCAACATCTTCAAATCACTTAATTCCTTTCTGGGTGTCCACTATTTTATTTGCCAAAGGTTTTGAGATGATTTAGCGAACAGCACTGTATAAAATAGTTAGGATATTGGAGTGTGCTGTGTGTCTACAGCAACAACACACTGCAATATCCTAAATAATTTATACAACAAATTGCATTTATATAGCGCCTTTCACATCAGGAGGATGTCGCAAGGCAGTGACACATACATGAGAATTAATGAAAAGTGACTGACTATCACTAGAAAAACATACCTTAATCTTTTCACTACTGAGCTGAGCAACAAGACTCCGTACTCTGTTAAGTTCCTCTGCTGCTTCTTCATAAATAGCCCGTGACTTGGTATAATTGTCCTGTTGTTTCAAAAACGAATTCCTAGAATTGGCCAAATTTAAAAGCTCCAAACCCAGTTCCTCATTCTTTGAAATCTGTTGTCAAAAAATATCACATAGAAAAATTCAACAAAATCTGTCTTGTTTTCTTAAGTAGGAGGTCCTTATGTCCCAGATAAAATCAGTCATTCAGTCCATGGCCGTTTGTGGAATGCTGCTGTGGGCAAATTGGCTGATGAGTTTGTCCAGAAAATACAGTCACTGCACTTTACAGTAAAATGCCGTAAAGAGCTTTGGGATTTTCAACAAACTTTTAGTTTGAGACTTTAAATCAAAATGAAGGGTGCCGTAATTACTCTGAGCTAAAACTCTGCTGTCCTATAATAATATTCCTTGCATTTGATGTAGCGCCTTATGTCACTGAGATGTCTCAAAGCGCTTCACAGAATATACTGCAAAGTGATATTATACATGATATAATATATCTAGTCTCTGATTCTTATTGCAATGTTCAACTGTCTGTTTAAAAGTAATATTATGCTTGTTTCATTTATTTTGGTTTCCTACTGAGCAAAATGACCATCGGTCTATCGACCTTGCCAAACTCCTCTTTGCTGTTAGTGTTTGAACTTCTGAAGAAGAGTTGCCTGATAGACGGAGCTGAGGGCAGTTTCTTCACCTTCTCCTGCCTCTGGTTCCCCAAACAATCCCTCTCCCTCTCCATCCCCAGTACCCGAGTGTACTGATCAGATCTCACCGCCTGCTCCAGTTGTGGATCCCTTCAAATAAAGACTCCGTTAACCCTCCCCAACACTGATGGTGCTGAGCATTCAACATAAAGACGCAACGCACTCGAGCCCTGCTGACCAGAGCCTCTGGTACCGTAGCAGGTAGTGCCAGCTTGGGCAAGCATCAACGAGAAATTACCAAACAATGACAACTGTGAATGCTAATGGTAACCAAACTGCCTCAATTTACCCTACCTGCAAGGTCGGTCGGTCATTGCTGCGTTTGCCTATAAAATACACACACACTACATTTTACAGTAAATTCCTGTGAATGGCTTTGAGATATGCTTCTGGTGTGAAAGATGCTATATATAGTGGAAGGATTATTATTTTACATGGACGTACACTATTGAGTGTATTAATTCGAGCATACAATGAATATAAAGCATTAGAGTGGTGTGAAAAGTACTTAAATTCCACTAAACCCCAAGGTAGTCTTTTTAACAAACAACCGGCTGTTGCTTTATACAGAGTGATTTGTTGTTAAGGTTATGAAAGCTACCGGCCTATGTAGATTAGAAAATAAATCCCTTTATTGTGACATGCTCAAGAGAGACTTTGGCATTGTGATGACAGTGCTCAGCGAGACATCATTAAGTGAGAGAGAGATTTCAATAATAATAAATATAATAACTTTGATAGCGATGATCAACTGCTATGAGCATCAACCAGCAAAAGTGACCTTGAGAAACAACAACAACTTTCATTTATAGAGCGGCCTTCAGGTGGTGTAGGATCCCGGAACACTTTTATGATAATATCTGGTCTATTACAGCTGATTGTCCTCTCTGTATGTACTTGTGAATCCCAGATTATTGGGATCCACGAGTGTTTGTGGGACACTGCTGTGTGCAATTGGCTGCTGCGTTTCGTCTACGAAATACACAATCAATCCCCTTTACAATATATTCTGTGAGGGTTGAGGGGAGATTTAATAGAGATGTTCAAAATTATGAGTGGTTTTGATCAAGTAAATAGGGAGAAACTGTTTCTTCTGGAAGGTGGGTCAGTAACCAGAGGACACAGAGTTAAGATAATTGGCAAAAGAACCAGAGGGGAGACGAGAAATATTTTACCCAGAGAGTAATTACGGTCTGGAATGCACTGCCTGAACCGGTGGTGGAAGCAGATTTGACAATAGCTTTCGAAAGGGAATTAGACAGGTACTTAAAAGGAAAAACTTGCAGGACTATAGGGTAAGAGCGGGTGAGTGGGATTAGTTGGATCGCTCTTTCAAAGATCCAGCACAGGCACAATGTGCCAAATGCCCTCCTTCTATGCTGTAAAATTCTATGATTCTATAAACACCTTGAGACATCGCAACGACGTGATAAGGCTCAATATTAAATGCAAGGATTATTATTATTATCATGTTTCTTGTGGTCTCAAAGCACTTCACACAGCTGACTGGGAGCCCGAGATGAGGGTGGGGGGAGCTAAGGGAGGCAGGAAGAAAAGGTGACCAAAAATACATCGCAAAGGAAGGTCTTAAGGTGGGCTTTAAAGGTGGGGAGGGTGCAGTCGAGGCAGAGGGACTTTGGGCTGGGGTTCCAGCGAGCGAGGGTTGAATGGTTGGAAGCTTGGTTGCCGACACTGGGGCGGTTCAGTTGGGGGTTATTAAGCAGTCTGGTGTTCAGTGAGCAGAGAGAGCGACTGGGGTGGCAAGATTACAGCACAGTGATCACAGCACACTGGGCATATGGCAAACCATATCAGCTAGGTTTCTGTTCCACGGCTTTTTTGCAACAAGCCAGGATTTGCCCCTCAACTCCGCACCCACCTCCTTCTCGTGCTCTTTGCTCAGGGCCAGGTAGTTGCTCTTCAGGACAACATATTCGTCCGCCAGCTCCTTGCGGGTTTTCTCCATCGCTTGCAGGCGATCCTCGCCCATCTCAAGCTCTCGTGAGCTTCTGTCCTTCTGTATTTCCAGCTCCACTGCTCGGTTTTCAAGGATTAGAATCTGAAAATTAAGCACAAACCCATTCAACAACGAGTAAACACATCTTTTACATCTTCACTTTTTTACAGCCTACTAAACTGTGCACTGTTGTCCTGAGCTTATTGCTAAATCTGTTTCAACAACAACAACTTGCCCTCACATAGCGCCCTTCATGCTGGGCAGCGTCTCAGAACCTGAGGGAGGAAGTGACTATAAGCACGGTCGAAGAGGAAGGTCCTCAGTCGTGATCTAAAAGAAGGGAAGGAGGGGGCAAGGTGGAGGGATTGAGGGAGAGAGTTCCAAAGCTTCACGCAATAGTCTCTTAAAGTGCGGCTACCAATAATAGAGTGGAGGGAGTGAGGGATGAGCAGGAGTCCAGAGCCAGACGAGCGGAGGCAGCGGGAAGTGGAGTGGAGAGAAAGGCGGTTGGAAAGGTAGGGAGGTGCCAGAGAGTTTCACCCACATACTTGACTGTAATTAGTTTCTACATGTGCGCCTCCCGCTTGCTCGCTAAATTATTGTTTTTCACGTGTCAAATTTTGTGAGGTGTCTTCAATGCTCCCTGTGTTGCAAGCTAAACTACACACAATAATGCGGATGTACGAGAAGGTAAACAAGAACAACAACTTGCGTTTATACACGCCCTTCACGCCAGAGCGCTTAACAGTGGCGGAGTAAGATAAAGGTCATCAAGCTGTTTTTTGGTGCAGTTAAAAAAAGCAACAACTGCATTGGATACAGAAGTGAGCTAGAACATAGGCAGGCGATCGGATGGACAGAGCACAACACGACGGAAAAATGAGGAAAGAAACGTAGAAGAGGAAAAAAAGAGAAAAGGAAATGAGTAGAAATTGAAGGCAAAAAGAACGGAAGAAAATAAGAAGTAAAAGTAAGGAGTTTAAAAATAGGATTTAAAATAGCAGGGCACAGGAGGATACTCAATCTAGGGCTATAGCACTGTTTCTTCTTGTCCAGACAGATGATAGATCTAAGAATGTCTTCTCTTGCCAATGTCTTCAGGAATATACTGTAGTTAGGCACTCAGTCTATATATCTGTGGATAGGAATTTTCTTTTGAATTAATCCATTTCACCTTCAGAACTTTTAGATTGATGTTCATTTCAATTCTCTCCTTTCAGCTGCCTTCATTAGGCTCAATGCTTTAGATTCCTACAATATTTCAGCGCAGTTATTTATCTTATTTGTCTCTGGGGCAAATTTATGTGTTTTTCCAGACGTTCTCCAGACGACAAAACACTCCAATACCCAGACGTTCAGCTCCTGTGATGTATTATCATCTTCACTGACCGCAATCGCAATGAAAATTAACTTAATTTACTCAATGTCCATTCCATCAAGTGTATTGCTGATAGGTAATCAAGAAGGTTAAAGACACAGCTCACAGATCAGAGAAGTAATGCTTCCAAACAAAGACTCGGTGCAAAACAAACACAAAAGCTCCACAATAGGGGTTTTGTGCTTTGTTACTTAATGGGGAGAGAAATCCCCCCAAGGTTCTCAAATTTACTTCATTTAGTTATCATTTTAGCAGAATTTGGCAAATTGTTGACCAGTCTTAACTTTAAGCCTTTTTTATGTGGATTCTTAAAAGAACTTTACAAATATACAATTTGAGACTGTGAATTACAGCAACAAATCATTTGGCTCAACCAGTCTGTGTCAGTGTTTATAATAATAATCCTGCCACTTGATATAGCGGCTTATCAGTCACTGAAATGTCTCAAAGCGCTTCACAGAATATACTGTAACATGAATTGACTGTATTGTGGGGGTGAAACGCAGCAACCAATTGCGCACTGCTGTGTCCCACAAAACAGTCGTGGATTGAGTGACCAAATTACCAAATTATTATTAAAAAAATTTGAAGGGATTATTACTCCCAGAAAGCTATCTACCAATTAACTAACAGCTAGGTTCCAATTTAGTGCTAGGTAAAGGCATGTGAAATAAGGAAACTTGCCCAAGGTTTCACCCTGCCCGGGAATCGAACCCGGGATCTCAGCCACAGACTTCTCTTTATAATAATAATAATAATAATAATAATCCTTGCATTTGATATAGCGCTTTTCATGTCAGGAGGACATCCCAAAGCGCTTCACAGAACACACTGTAAAGTGAATTGACTGTATATTTGTGGGCGAACGCGGCAGCCAATTGCGCACAGCAATGTCCCACAAACAGTCATGGACTGAAAATGACCAATTTATTATTGTTTTGCTTTGGAGGATTATTATTAGGCTCTGTGTGGAGTAAGGAAACTTGCCCAAGGTTTCGCCCTCTGCCTGGAATTGAACTCAGGTCTCTCGCTTGCAAAGCGAGTGCTCTAACCACTGAGCTACAGGACTCCACACTAGCAGTAAGTAGGTAGTTGTTAGTTGATTGGCAGATCGCTTTCTGGGGGTAATAATCCCTCCCCCCAAAAATGTGGTCATTTAATCCACATTTCGCCCACAAAATACCCTTTACATTATATTCCGTGAAGCGCTTTGAGACGTCTCATCGACATGATACAGTGCTATATCCAGTTCAAGGATTATTATTATTTATTATTATCAGTGGGTGAGATTTCGGCCACTTTGCCCCTGCTATCTGGATTCCTCTCTCCAAATCCTTCCCCCTCACACTGTTTTAAAATCCTTCTAGAACCCGGCAAATGACAAAATAGATAGAATCAGCATTGATGGATCCACCTCATTCCCTTTTGTTTCAAGTAATTTTAATTCCAGAGATCTTTGTCTTGGCTATCAGCTGATGAATGGGCAGATGCACAGTGCCTAAGCATTGCCATGGATACCTTATTCTTCAGCTCAAAGTTCTCCGCCTCATACTTTTCCCTCATCTTATTTGTCTCAATCTGCAGATCAATGAGGTCCTTGGAAATCTGAAAGCGTCCAAGAAGAACTTCGATGAGAATACAACCTTTTGAAAGTAGGCTACCTTGCAAATAAACAGAGCATTCACCAGCCTACGGTTATAACAGCTCACACTTGTATTAACAACAACAACTTTGCATTGATTTAGCACATTTCGTGTCAGGGGGTATCTTAAAATGCTTCAGAGCTGACTGGGAGCCTGAGCTGAGGAATAGGGAGAGCTGAGGAAGGTGAGAGGGGTGGGGGAGAATGTGACCAAAAGTCTAGTTCGAAGGAAGGTCCTAAGCCAGGCTTTCAAGTGGAGCTGAGAGAGGGTGAGGCGCAAAGAATTGGGATGGTGTTGCAGAGTGTGGCTGAAACCTCGCCCACTGAGGGGGAGGTGGGGAAGAAATCAAACAGGGTACATGAAGCAGGCCAATGTTTGCTGAGTGGAAGGAACAGCACCTTTCACATCAGAAAATGGAAGTGCTTCATAGAGATAGGAGGGAGCCCGAGCAGGGTGCGAGAACCCAGGGGGAGGTGAGGAGGGGCAGGGATAAGGCAGAGGTGGCTAATCATCCTGAAAAGAGACACACAATAAATCATTCCTCCCGCAAACCCATGACTTTCTTAGAGCAGAGGAAGTTCAGGGATGATTTGATTGAGGTTTTTAAGATAATGAAAGGAACTGAAAGGATCCATTAAGGGAGGTCTAAAAGGTGTTTAAGGGTAACCTCACCTTGAGCTTTTCTTCCTCACTGAAAACCAGTTTGGAGGAGAGATCAGCCTTGGAGCCAGCCATCTGCGCCATGGTCTCCTGCAGCTCTCCCAGCTTGTGGTACAAACGCTCATTCTTATCGCGCAGGAACACCTGCCAGAACAATTGAGATCAAAGGCTTAGGTTAAGAAAAACAATCAACGGTGAGAACAACTCACATTAATACCTTCACTGTGCTGTGCAGGTCCAGGTTGGACCATATTCTATTAGTCTTATCTCTTATCCTTTCTTATCACTTCCCCCTGTAATCTTCTCCTCTGAAGACATTGACCATCGTGGGCTGGAGTTCCCTGAATGCTAGCTGGGTGTCTGTTCCTGGTGTGGTACCTTAGGCAGTGAGTTGGGCAATCATGGGGGGGGCGGGAAATAGCTGCAGATCTCAATCCTGCACGCACATTTTAAGTGGGTTATCGCACTATCATCACTGGAGAGTGGAGTCTCATGGGGTACTGTTTGTGGAACACTGCTGTGCGCAATTGGCTGCCGCGTTTCACCCACAAAGTCCACAAGCAATTCACTTTACAACAAACTCTGTGAAGCGCTTTGAGATGCCTCAACTTATATATATATATTATATATGGCGCTAAATCAAATGCAAGGATTATTATTATTATAGCTGGCCAGACGCTAACTCAGCACAGACTGAAAACTAATCGTGTAGCCTGCCAGCTCTGTCTGTCTGTTTAGCTCATTAACCCTTTATGTTGTTGCTAAACAGACAACGGGGTTTAAACCAGATACTGTACGCCCGAATAGATATTGTCTCACATTTTCATTATTTAATCTCCAGATCTGATCCTTGGGTGCGTTGACTTTATTGGGTTGTCCTTTGGTGTTGCCGGCCTGGTCAGGCTCCTGCCCGAGTGCCTGGATGCGAGCCCGGTACTGGATTATAAGTGACTGTATTCAATCAGAAAGCACAGGATCAGCCCAACAGCTTGCCAGTCACAGAACAACTTGTGTTTATCCAGCACCTCACACGCACAACAAGAAAATCTCAAAACTATGATTTTTTTTTCTCTCTTCCTCTCATCATCATCATCATCATCATCATCTCTGCGGGCACCGTGAGAACGAGACCAGCATCAGCCAAGGTCTGTTCAATAAACCAGCATGAGGTTAATGTGTCTCAGTTAGCGTAGGGTCCAGTCCTATCGGGACAAGCAGCAGGAAGTTTGCAAGACAGTGCTCGCAATAACACACTGCATGTTTCTAGATGCACGATTCCAGTAGTCATCTTTCCCCCACCCCTCCTTTCCCCCACCACCTACCACCCAACGCACAATCTGGGGTCCCCAAGCCTTAGTTCTTTCCAATTTGAACCTTAAACTTTCTGGGATTGGGTAAGCAGGATGTGTACCTCTCTGGGAAGGGAGTGCGCGCTCCCTCCCACAGGGAAATGGAAATGAATTTCCACAGGGAAATTTCCATTCATACATGAATCTAAGATGACACAGAAATGTGGAAAAAATGTTCAATTCAATCTTAATTTGGAAGTCAGTTTTCCTGGGGTCTTACAAAGAATCTGCCTTCCGAATTCAGACTCTAACTGAACAATTTTCCACAAATCGGCACAATCTCTCATTTTAAAACAAGACGGTCTCACAGCTGAGCACTGGGTGGAATTCCAGGCCTTGTGTCCTGTGAGAGTTAGGAATTCAAGAAGACGAGGAAAATCACACCAGAAACATGGATATAAAACAAAACCGTCATTTCACCACTACTTCAAATACTGCCACCTTCTGGTTCCAAATAGTTTCCCAATGATAATGCCATATAAAATAATATTAAATATGTTTGTAAAATATTGAGCAGGATTTTAGTTCTTTCATATATATTTTGTATAATTCTATGATTCTATTGGGACTGAATTAGACAGCTCTTTTAAAAGAGCCTGCACAGACACGGTGGCTTCCTTCTGTGCTGTATAATTCTATGATTCTATGATATCAGGGTTGGCAAGAAATTAGATTTTTTCGCTCGCGATCCAGAATATAACTGTTTGACGGTCTTAACGGACCTGCACTCAGTCTTAATCCATAACCATTTTCTTTTTATAAGAGAAAGACATTTCTCTCTGGTGTCCTCGCCAACTATCCTCCAGATTTTAAAAAAAGTCATTCACTTTATTAATGTTTGTGGAATGTTGTGTGCAAATCGACTGCCACGTTTACCCATAAAATACAGTCACACAATTGACAGTGTAGCACTTTGAGACATTTCTTAAAGCGCGACATCAAATGCAAGGATCATCATCACTATTATTATTATTAAGAATAAGAATAACAACTATGGAAAACTGAGTTTCCAAATAACCACTGAATTTCAGAGTCCTGTGCCAATGTAAATTGTAACACAGAATGTCTTGCAGAGTAAGACCAGATGGAATTTTGACTCTTTGATGTTACAAAACAAACAGATTCCTGGTTCCATACCTCAACACAGTATTCATTTAACACCGGGAAGTTTTTGACTTGAGAGAGATCAGTGCAGGTTCTCAGGACCTTAGCGAGGAGCTTAGGCTCCGGGTTTGATCGAAGGCAGCAGATAACTCGGGTCTTGCAGTTTCCACCCAAAGCCTCTTGCAGCAGCTGAGTTAATTTAGACTCACTGGGGTAAAGAAGTGCAAACATAAGGCATGGAGCTCAATGAAGGTGCAAAGCTCTGAACAGCTTACAAACAGTCATATGAGGGCAAGCACTGGAGGCCAGAAATTCCACCTAGTCTTAGCTTGGGAGACCATCCTGTCTTAAAAGTTTAGATGGCAGAATATTCTTAAAATCTGGCTTGATTTAGAAACCAGTTCCTTCCAGGAAGTGTAGAAAAATAGCTTCCAAACTAAGAATGAATTGAAGAATAAGTTTAAGAACGTTCACCTAGTCCTAGTATGTCTGAATTTGAGAAACGTTTACAAAGCTGTGCTATCTGAAAGGCAAAATGGTGTCCTGTAGCACAGTGGTTGGAGCACTCACCTCGCAAGGGAGAAGGATCAGGGTTCAATTCCGGGCAGTGTGAAACCTTAGGCAAGTTTCTTTACTCCACATGCCTCTGTTTACCTAGCGGTATGTAGGAACCCGGTCATTAGTCGATTGGTGGTTCACTTTCCGGGGGTAATAATCCTTCAAAAAAAATGTGTTCACTCACTCCATGACTGTTTGGGTGACACTGCTGTGAGCAATTGGCTGCCACATTTTGCCCACAAAATACACAGTCAATCCACTTTACAATATATTATCCTGTGAAGCTCTTTGAGACATCTCTAGGACGTGATAAAACACTATATTAAATGCAAGGATTTTAAAATGGTCTTGCAGGCTAAGCGGATTTTGGGACTCTTTATGACTTGGAGTATGTGGGAGCTTGTGTATGTGAACACATGTGACTTAGGTCTGAGCATCCAAATCCCACTCTTAGGATTGTACAAATAAAACAATAGTAATTTTATAAGTTTTTAAATTTAAATTTCTGACAAAAGATTAGCCAGTTTCTTTTGGATTTGTTAACGAACAGGGATATGCTAACAATAGTTTCTGTCACTTTGTCTCTTAATCCCATCAAGGTATTCGGGCATCAACGTTCAGCAAGTCCTTACCTATAATCGATGACTCTGTCTGGGTCTGGGGACCTTGCCAGGTTGTTCACCACTTGAGAGAATGCCATAAGGGATCTGCAGAGCAAAGGCCATTCCGGTGAATGTAAGACATTCTTGTCTTCTGCCAGTGTCTCTGCTCCTGGTAGCTCAATGATCTGCATGAACGACTTTGATGGATACAGCTCATTACGGTCATGCTGCAACGTTTAAATCCATGAGAAAGTGGGTCAGTCTGTTTACTGCAAACCATTTTATAATAATAATATAATAATAGTTACATTTGATATAGTGTTTTTCACGTCTTTTAGACGTCTCAAAGCGCTTCACAGAATATACTGTAAAGTGAATAAACGGTAAAGCCAATTGCAAACAACAGTGTTCCACAAAAAAAAGTTGGATTGAAGTGACCAATTTATTATTGTTTGCTTTTTTCTTGAGGGATTATTATTATATTTCTGTTGCATAACCTAAGCATTGTTTGCAGAATCTACTGTAATAATAACCCTTGCGTTCTACATAGCACCGTAACGGGTGAAAAACGCCACAAAGGGTGTAAGTCATTGTGTATTTACTTGGATTTATATAGCGTCCTCCACGCCGGACGGCGTCTCAGAGCGCTTCACAGTAATGGATCCCGGGGCCGAGCCAGGGGGAGGGGAAGGGGAAAGAGCCAGGGGGAGGGGGGGGGAGGTGACCAAAGGTGCGGTCGAAAAGAAAGGTATTCAGCCGAGACCTGAAAATAGGAAGGGAAAAAGGGGAAGGGAGTGAGGAAGGGAGTTCCAGAACCTCAGGGCGAAAATGAGCGAAATGCACCCCCTATTCCACAGCTCCAACTTGGCTGCATAATGAAATAGGGCAAGTTCCTTGCAGTTTCAAGACCAGAGCTTTAAAAAGTTATCCTACCACAGCAAAGGTGCGAGAGAGCAAAGATTTTGTGGTGCAACACGTAGACAGTTCACAAGCCTGTCTACTTTACCCCTGTCCTGTCCCATCTCCCCCTCCCCCCATTTTGCTACATATTAAGCATCTCATGCTTCGCTTGAACACTGAATGGCAAGTTAAAAAGTGTCAGAGAACTTACGCCCTGTGTTTATATCCACTGCTCCACTCACTCACTCACTCTCCCTCCCTCGCTCCCCTTTCCAAATAAGTAAAATTCTGTCCATGCAAATAAAAACTCCCTTAAAATATATTAATTGAAAAGCTATCTCCTTATTACTTGGTAACTGGAGCTTAGTGGTTATAGCACTCGCCTCACAAGCGAGAGGACCCGGGTTCGACTCCCATAAGCAGGCGATGTGATAAATAATAATGATAACCATTTGACGTAGATCCTTATCGCATTGTTGAGACAACATGATAAGGAGCTGGATCAAACGCGGGATAATGCTGTAACTGTAATTACCATTAATTGCAGCAATATCCCACAGACACTTGTGGATTGAGTGACCAAATTATATGTTTTTTTTGTGATCAGAGAATTCTGCTGCCATGCTTGTTACATAGATACAGGCCATGCAGTCCAACTAGTCCATATCGGTGTTTGTACTCCACCCCACTCTTTACCCTCTCCTATACGCTTCCCTTCTCAGTCAGGTAATGATTTGTTTTCCCTTAAATGCATTGCTGCTTTCACAAAATATACAATCAATTCACTTTACAGTATATTCTTTGAAGCACTTTGAGACGTCTTGAAGATGTGATAAGGCGCTATGCCAAGGGTTATTATTCCAGGGCCCCTATGGAAATGGTGGCAAACCAGCCAGAAATTAACTCTCTCAAGGATGCTATTGCAAGGACTGGCATCTATACAGTAAATTTCTGGCAGTACTCTCAGTCTCCCAAACAACGGCACAGAACTGAAGCCGTTCAACAGTGCTCCTCCTCTATATCAGGGGGATTTCTTCAACAGCTGCACAGTTAACATTTCCTGCACCGGCTTCAGTTACTGGAATGATACGATGTCTCCAAGCGCTACACAGTGAATTTCCTGAGTGAATTATCAGAAAATGTGATAATTTGCACACAGCAATGCCCCCTAAAGCCGTGAAGTGAATGACCAAATTTACCTGTGGGATTTCTGGCCAGGACACCGAGAGAAACTCCCTTCTCTTTCTGGTTGATGCCACGGGATCTTTAACACCCGTCCAAACAAACGGTTTATGGTCTCATCCAAATGAAGGCTTCTCCAACAATGCAGAGCTCCCCTAACACTGCTCTGGAGCATCAGCCTACACTGTGAGCTTAAAGTCCCCGGCTTGTGGACTTGAATCTTTAAACTTCTGAACCAGGAGTGGGAACAATTGAGCCGGGACAAATCTGGAGGAATAAAATAATGCAGAAACTCACCATGAACAGGTTCATCTGAGTGACGATGGCCGAATGGTTTGATGCGGGTCCAAAATCGGTTACTGCTCCTATTCGCCTAGCCCAGCCCTGGCGGTACACAGTGGTAGCCTCAGCCGCCGAGCAGACAGCCAACCGGCTTAATCCCTGAAACCAAGTCGAGAGCAGCATTCAGTCATATCCTTGCCTAAAACACAATCTGGATGCTAAGCATGGCTTAATACAAAAAGAAATAATTGGACGCACTAAATTTTAAAGAAAGCTAAATATGTGTAGACCCAGATAAAGCGTCTCCTTCCTAATTTTATTATTACTGATGAGCAAGGTTAGGCCTGCTCCCCATCCCGTTAAAATCAAATTAAACCAAATACCTTCCATTTTGGGGGTGAGGTTTATCCCCACCCCAAACTCTCTCAGTCCCAAATTGTCACAGGACAATGTGGATCTGAACCTGTCTTTAGGTCCTGCCCGAGCAGGTCTGGTGACAGGGTGGCCTCTGCTGCAGGGCAAGCCTGGCCTGAGCCTAGTGACCAGGTGCTCCAGTGAGCCCTACATTCCAGTTTCTCCCCTTCCTCCCTGTGAGCAGATCACACTACTCAGATCAGAAATACTGCAACACTGATCCCAACCAACAGAGGGCTGAAGGCATTACCTACAAATATACAGTCGATTCACTTTACAGTCTATTCTGTGAAGCGTTTGAGACGTCTAGAAGACATGAAAAGCGCTATATCAAATGCAAGGATTATTATTATTATTATTATTGCCAGGAACCAATCCTTCCCCTAATCCTCAATTTACAGGTGAGATTTGTTTGTGGAAACCCGTGAAAGAGCTATCCAACTAGCCCCACTCTCCCCCGCTCTTACCCCATTGCCATGTAAATTTTTTTTTTCAAATACCTATCCAATTCCCAAAGACACCACACACCCCAGATTCTCCTTTTCACCAAATTTCCTCTTAAACCTATTATGGCTATTGCCTCAACCATGATTTGAGATGGGACATTCCACGTTCAATTTAAGCAATGCCACGACATACATATATAACCTGTACCTTTATGAACGTGCCGTTCTGTGCATTATATCCAAGCTCTAAGGTGGTCGAAGCCGGACCCGATGGCTGTAACAAGTCCTTCAGCTCCTCAGCGTAGATCTCATACATGGACAGGGAGAGAGACCACATTGTGGTGGCCTGTACATTCTGCAGATCCGCTACACCTGGTATCACAACACAAAGAACATCTTCTTCTCACTTGTGAACACTTTAAAACATCAACAACTTGCATTTATTTGGTGCCCTTCATTTTGTAGGATAGCATCTTGAAGTGCTTTACAAAGAGTTCACCGTCAAGGAAAGGAGAAGGGACTGTGGCTATGGTCGAACAGGTTGGCTTTTATGCAAGATGGATTGGTGGGGGGATGTTGTGGAGATGGAGGAGTTGAGGACGGGAGTTCATGAGTATTGGGGCATATCGATGGTAGCATGGAGGGGACAGGGGCTTTGCAGCAAGCCTGTTTGCTGAGGGGAGGGGTGAGCAGAAGATCAAATAAGACATAATCTTATGGGGGTAGGGAAGATCAAATAAGACGTAATCAAGGCCTTTTTTTTGGGGGGGTGGGGAGGTCGGGAGGACAATCTTTATATAAACTAGGCACTCATGCGTCACCCTGTATCAGTTGGCAGTATTCTCGCCTCTGAGTCAGAAGATCGGGACTTTGAATACATAGAGGTAACTTCCTTCAGATGAGGCATTAAACAGACTTCAGGTGGATGTTAAAGATCCCTTGACACTATTCTAAAAGAGTTTCCCCAGCGTCCTGGGTGACAATTTCCTGAATGAAACTGGTCATTCACTTCATGGCTGTTTGTGGGACATTGTTATGTGCAAATTGGCTGCTATGTTCTCCAACAAACAAAACAGGCTGACACCAACTTACTGAAGATGTAATCTATCGCCAGCGGTATGATGGCTGACGGATCGCTTTGTTCCCCAGTCAATGTGTAGGATTTTCCAGAGTCTGTTTCACCGAACAAGACAACAGAAACGTTTATTCCTTCCGCAAACACATTGAGCAGCGGCTCCACAGTCTTGGTGAACACTTCCCGTGTGGAGACGTTCTGGTCAAAGAGCTCTTGAAAACTAAAAGGAAAAGGTTGGGACAGGGAAGCAAGGGGCAGGGCGGAAATATAGAGGAAGAGTATTCCAGAGTTTCGGGGCATTGTGTTTGAAAGTGTGGCCACCAATGGTGGAACGGAGGGCACGAGGGACATGCAGAAGACTGGAGCCAGTCGAGCAGAGGCAGCGAGTTGTGGGCTTTAGGTTGCAGAGCAAGCAGTTCGGAGAGGTAGGGAGGTGCCAGGGAATGAAGGGATTTGAAAATAGGCGATAACTGGCGATAGGAAGCCAGTGGAGCCTGGCTAGAACTGGTGTGATGGGAGTATGGAGTTTAGTACGGGTGACTATGTGGGTAGCAGAGTTTTGGATCAGTTGGATGCTGTGCATGGTGACGCTGGGCAGACCGGCAAAGAGGGCATTTGAGAAGTCCAGTCGGGAGGTGACGAATGCATTGACGAGTGTTTCGGCTGCGTCTGGGGAAAGGTACGGTCGAGGGCGGGCAATGTGGCAGAGGTGGAGAAAGGCGCTCCTGTCGGCCTGATTACCTGAAAGAAATTCCTCCAGCTGAGGTGAAGACGGTCTTCCCCGCTCCTGAAATCTGTAAACTATGGTTGTGCTCAGGCCTGCGGGCAGCACGGATCCGACCCACTACTTCGATGTTCATTCTGGCAGTCTGCGGAACAAAAGCAGTCAGGAAATACCTCTATACCTAATATCTGGCTTCTGAATATACTTAACAACAACAAATTACATTTAATACAACATAATAGAACCCTTGCATTTGATATAGCACCTTTAAGACAGGAGGTCTTCTCAAAGCACTCTTCAGGATTTTACTGTAAAGTTTAGTGCAATGCAGCCAATTTGCACACGATAACATCCCACAAACAGCCATGAAGCAAATGGCCAATTTTATTTGGTGGACTATTGACCGGGACATCAGGAGAAACTCCCATTTGATCTCCTTTTGAATCACGCTATGGGATCTTTAACATCCAATTGAACAAGCTAGACAGGACCTCGGTTAAACATCTTGTCTGAAGTATGCTGCCTCCAGCTTTGCAGCTCTCCCCCCAGCATTGCACTGGTGTGTCAGCCTGGACTGGGAGTTTAAATTCCTGACCTGATGATTGAACCCACAACCTTCTGACTCAGAAGCGAAACTGCTACCAACTGAGCAAACCTGATCTGAAATGGAGAACATATTTTGAGAGGTATCAACAAAGCGATAATATGCTATATCAAATGCAAAGATTATTATATTATTATTGTAATAAGGAAGAAAAGATGAGAACAAATTGAAGCCCAGGAGAAGTACTCGTTTCTTTAAGTACCCCGCCTGGCACAAGAGCAGATCACAGGCAGAGAGTGAACCAAACATGAAAATCCTGAGTGTTGGGTTTCCAACATGCAATTTCACAGTCTTTCTATGGCCTGAACCCACACAAGCAGATTTCTTGAAGAAATGCAATACAGTACATTCAGATATTATGTGGCAAATACATTAGGTTACATAAAAGAGTTGAGCACAAATGCATCCGAGTTTTACCGTTCTCTCGAGCTCCCAGTTATCTATGGAACTCTATAGGTCCTGGTTTTCTTACCTGACATCCAGTCTCCCAGTAACTGTGCCAGAGTGTTCTGCTGTTACCCAGGTGACAGTGTGAAGCAAACATAGCCCCACCTCCGCTTGTGAGAGCAGAGAGTGAATGGACGTGCTTCTCTCTGAAGCCCTCTAGGTTGTGCTGATCCATGGACTCGAACTGCAACAGTGCAGCAAAACCCGGTGGGTTTCACTGCGAGATTCTTTGTGGGACACTGATGTGGGATCTTTGCATTTGATATAGCATCTTATCATCTCATTGAGACATTTTGAAAGGGTTTCACAGGATATAGTGTAAAGTGAATTGACTGTGTATTTTGCGGGAAGAAATTCTACTCGAGTCTAAACTGCTCCATTTGTGTAGTATTTTAGAACCAGAATTTGGCAAATTCTTAAACAAAGCCTTAATTTTGAAGCTGATTTTCTATCCGTTTCTTCTAAGATTCTTATAAACTGTTGTGAGTGGAGCAGGTTACGTCAGTGCTTCCTGCTGACAGTCCCAGCAGTACCAGCAAAGTAACTGCTCCATTAAAGACCTTGAAATCAGTCTTTGGTTTTCAAGCCACACACATCATTGTTTGCTGTGATTGGTGATGTGTCAGTTTATAGTTCCATTGTGACACATCAGTGCGTTAAAGAGAGGGGTGAAAGAGAAAGAGAGGGGAAGAGAGAGAAATGTGGGGTGTTTGAAAAGGAAAACCAAAGAGAATGTCACTGAACATAATTCAGACATTTAAAGGCTGGCCAATTCTGCAACCCTGGGAAAGGTAAAGGCAAAGCCACTTTTAACAGAGCTGGATATGCATCAAATCATTAATGTACAAGAAAATCACCCGTACACTGCACTTTAAATGGACTAATAGAAACTAACTCACAGTAATGTATATTCTAAATATAGAAATCCCATTTTAAAATGACAAGATATGAATGGCATTCAGGACGGAAATTAGAATACATCACCCCAGATTGGACAAAAATTAGGAAATGCTTCATCTGTTTCTGTGATAGTGCTGCAATGTAATGAAATGCAGTGGACTTTATTATTGAGTGTTCAAGTCCTATGTTTGGACTCTGAGCTTCTGGTCAAGGCTGATGTTCCTGTGCAGTGCTGGGGGAGTGCTACACTGCCAGAGGGACCGTCCTACGGATGCGACATAAAACTGAGGCTTTGTTTGTGCTGTTGAGATGGATGTTAAAGATCCCATGACTTTGTTCAAAAAGACAAAGGAGTGCCTGGCCGACAATAACCCAAATAAACTGATCATGGCTGTTTGTGAGACTATTCTGTGTGCAAATTGGCTGCAACGTTTGCTTACAAAATACCACAGCCATTATACTCACTTTACAATAAATCCCCTGAAGCACTTGGCGATGCTCTGTCAAAGTGAAAGTCGCTATAACAATTGCAAGGATTATTGTAAATCAGTTTGGTCTGGAAAAAACAATTACAGAGTGAGTACTCTTTGATTGCAATTCTCTTCCTCACTTTTGCATGATCTCACTACATCATGAACTGCCACTGTTCTGTGACCGAGTGCACGGCCAGGCTACCCAGGTTCAGTCATTGTCAGATAATTTATGGTGTGGAAGAATGTCTGAGTCGTCTTCCCTCTTGCTGTTATCATTGAAGTAGTAGGTCTTACTCCTGGCACTATTCAAAAAGAGAAGGGAGATTCTCCCACTATCCTGGCTGGGAGATTAATTATTGAGTAACTTCCACTCAGCTCCCATTAAACCTGCAAGCCCAAGCCCTAAAAGGGTAGGTGGTCCTAGCTGGACAAGCAGTTGGAAAGCTTGACAGCGCTCTCAATGGCAAGCTATGTGGTTGTAGCTGGTTGTAAAGTCCAGTAA